TAAGTAGGTAAATGTCTGGTGGCCCTGATGCAATATTTTAAAGGAACAACAGATAGTTGTGTCCTGTCTGCACCTACTGCTGTGGCCATTGGAAATGTCACATTTCCCAGCAACGTCCTTTTTCAGTGCCTTTTCAGCTTATGTTCACAGATCATGTGAAAAAAGCAAAAAATTTGCTCTGAGTTACTCCAGAGTATTTTATATATTTCTTAATCCCTAACTAACAGGCCTTTCTACAGTGCATGTCGAGCATGTATACTGGACACAGACTTCAGGTTTAATCTATACAGTGGGATGACAGATAGGGAGTATGCATATGTGATGGCTATATGTAAACACACTCTTGTTATAGCGTGAATGTGGCCTCTAGGAGTAGTGTTTTGTTTAGCTATAACTTAATCTGCTTCTTGAAGAAAAATTGTTGGAAGACCTAAAGCAGTTCTTCTTTCTGCTCAAGAACATATGTATTGTTTCATTAAAGTGCTTTTTCAAAAGCAGCTCTAAAAAATCACAAACTTGACTGGTTTAACTTTAATCATCCCAGATGTTGGCTTTCATAGTGAGTTGCCTTTTGGGTTAGATACAAGCACCTTTTGGTCAAAGAAAGCAACGTTTCCTGTAGCAGGGACAAGTTTTTTTTGGAGTAATGAGAATAGCTTAGCCTATTTAGAATTAAAGAAAGAAAAATTATTTGGGGAATTAAGTGTTGGAGGACAAAGTTTTCCACTTTGTGGGGTGTTCTCTCCACAGTTGCGGTTATAGTTAGTGGAAAAGCTTGCCACCAGGAATGTTCAGAGCCCTGCAAGGCCTGTTGGCTCTTAACTAATGACCCACATTCTCACAGCTGCACTGAGACCCTGTGTGATGTGGCTGTACTAGTGGAAAACAATGGAGTTATTTATTTCCAGCTGTTTCTGTCACATGAATAAAGGACTGATTTGTGCCAGAGTGTGGTTGCTGTTGACTGCAGCATGAAAATTTAGGGGGTTTTGTAGCCAAAAGAGTGTCACTTATAAGATTGAGAGATCTGAGGACAAACGGTCAAGCGTCTTCAAACGCAACATGTTGGGTTTTTCTCAAGCACATTGTGTGTACATAAAGCCCAGTTGTCCAATTCTGGCTACAATGGCCGCATGGTTTGAAAAAACAGTTCAAGGCCCCACAGTGGAACACTTGAAATGAAAATACGGTCTTTACTCTGACCCATGCTAATTAATCTCTTTCAACGAAGCCAGCGTATACTTCTGAATACACCCTTAACTTCACAGGCTGTACTTCTGTGCTTTTTCTGCTGAAGCTACTCAAGCTGTATCTGGTAGCTCTGCCTCCAACAGTGTGGGAGTGGCTATATTCTTCCTTTTACCATGAGCTAAAAACGCTCAATAGGGCATCATCAAAGCTGTGATGCTTTGATTGTGAACTGCTTCTGTCAAGCTTAACTAATTCCTCTAAGGTAACCTGTTAGTTGCCCCCCAGATAGGGTGAGTCTTTAATGTGCACAATGAGGACAGCGTCTTCTGAGGAAATGTCTTCTATAACTAATGTATTAGTGTAACCTAATATGTTTTACATGCATTGTTTTGGTTTTCACAATTAAAACTGAACTGTTTTTTCTGTCCAAGTTAAAAGTATTAGTAATTGTTTTAATACATTTTGAAGTTACCTAAATGCAAGAAAGACAGTGTTTCACAGCGCTCGGACTTATTGCAGGCAGGTCCTTCAGCAAGCTTGGGCTGAACGTGCGCTGACCTCAGGCTGTTTTGTTGTTCCAGATGTTCAGCAACACCTGTGTAACTGACTTTCACTTGCCAGTGAAAACTAGGCAAAACGTGGGGTTTTTTGCATCTATTGAATAATCAAACCCCAAGAAATGGGAACTTCCTTGAACCGAACTATGTTGGAAGAAGTTGACATAGAACTATTGATTTTTAGCTCTGATCAAGCACTCTTGCCTGACTGGCATAATCAATGGAAGTAAGAATTGTGTCTGCTTGTAAAACAGCAAGGTAATAAGCATGCGCTTGTATTTGTGAGTGTGCATTCACGTGCATGCATGTACGCTTGCATATGTAGACAGACTTTTTATAGAAACTAGGACACTTTTGCCGTGGTTCAGCCCAGAGCGTGTTCCAGAGGGTTTGCCAGCTCTTGCATATGGGTTTGGGTGGAAATGTTTGCGCGTTGTCCTGGTGCCAGAGTGATCCTATTGTTTGAGTGGGATCTTGGTCAGAGGCAATTCTGAGTGATTTAGAGCATGTTGCATTTAATTATTACTTTTTTCCCCTATGTCTATTCAGTGTTTTATGAATGTTTCACAGTCTGTGCACAGCCTCGTTAAGTGCCTTATTGGACTATAACAGCAGGAGTGCTATTAGCAGTTCCAGCAGTTAAGTGTGGCCACGTATCGTGTACCTGCCAAAGAGCTGCTGAACTTATGATGAGCAAGGCAACCAAGTCCTAGCACACTCATCCAAAACACATATCAAATCCCTCAAACTTCTGTTACTAATCAGCAGTATCAGAAGCCGATTCACATGTGCTCTGTGCACCTTTTCAAATACTGCCAGAAATGGATCTCTGCAGCTGTTGCCTGCAGCTGTTTGTGTTTTAGCCCTAATTTCATAGTTCTGTACATGCTGGAGAAACTAAGATGAGTTACTGACTACAGCCAGGCTCTACAGCCAGAGGGAAGGACGCTTATACTATGCTACAGCATAAGTAAGCCCACAAATCCAAGCTTGGAGAAGTCATTCTGTTGCTGGCAGCTGATTGTGATTTTCTTGCCAGAAGGATCATGTGCTGCTTAGGGCTGACTCTCCAGAGGAGGCCTGTAGTTGGAGCTTGCTGGGATATCTCCATGCTCCTGTAGCCCTCACCTTCACTTTGGCTAAAGTTCCTATTTGGGAGAGAGGACTGAATTGTCCAGCCTCTCCCTCTTACCTGTTTCTTCATCTCCCTTTTCCCTCTTCCCCCCACAGTTTTCCAAAGGGAAATAACCAGTTGCTGCTTTGCATTGTTGAAAGGTGTTCTTGGTTTTTGGCCTGATGCTATCCTAGAAAGAGATCATACCTTGAAAGAAAAATGCTGTTAATGAAACACTAATAGAGCATGATATTCAGTACATCCTAGGCTGTAGTACTTCTCTAGGGAGCAAATCTTTAAAGTTATAAAGTGTGGGGGAATTCGAGTAGGGATGCGATCATTTAATGTTGATTGGGGGGGGATATAAAGATGATGGACAGTATGCATAGGTCTAACAACTGTTCAGCACTTGTACTGGCAGTGGTTCAATACTGACAGAGAAGGAAAACCCTCAGGCAATCAACAGCAAATGCTTGTCAAAGGGTCCTTTGAGATTTACTCAGCGTTTGGATCATGGGCAAAGTTAAGTGTTGAGATCCCAGCATGTCCATGTGTTTTCTATGTCAACACTCTGCCCTTTTGGCAGGCCCTTTGAGATTCCTAACGATTTCTGATATAAAGATTCAATAGCACCAATGTTGCTTAAATACCTTTTCAAACCTGTGCTGGTAACAGACTTGTGCTGGGGACTGTTTATAACCAGGGATCTGCTCACACCCACGGAGTCATTAATGCATAAATAGGAACTCTTGTACTGGGAGGTATGTTGTCCTCCTGGTTCTGTGGCATCATTTCCCTCTTCTTCCTCAGCTGATGGACATCAAAAATCATGGGTTAAATGTGGGACAAGTAAGCAGATGAAAAGAAACAAATGCTTTTTTCCTGTTTTGTGCCAAGCAGAGATAAGAATGCCCTCCCGGAGCTTGCTGGCAAAGAGGGACGGGAATAAGAAATGAGGGCATTTTGTTTGCAGGACTCCAGCCAGGCTGTAGAGGGGGTTGAGGAGTTGAGGGGTTTCAGGATCGTCAAACTCTTAAGTCTTCTTGTGGATGGAGTGAGTGGGTTTTCCCTTTATGCCCATCTGGGATCCAGGACAACTTGTGTGCAGGTGCTCACAGGGAAAAACCATTCAAGTCTCCAAACTGATAACTGCCATCACATGCACCTTGTGACATATGCCTGCCTTTCTACTTGTGCAGTTTTTTATCAGGACAGGTCGGGGCTGAGATAAGAACTCATAAACCAGCATAGAAGTAACTCAAACACATAAACTGTTCTTGGGAGCATGAGCATGGTGCTGCTTCTCCCTGCATCCTTATGTTTTGCGTGGGAGTCCAGCTCTGGTGGAAGCGAGAGCTCCTCAGAGGGCTGAATGTCGCAGTCAGCTCAGAGAATTCATCCTGAAATGATTAATTTTGTTACTTGATGAATGGGGAAACCTTGCCACCTGGAGAGAGGATCATCAAGTCTAAGCCAGAAACCAAGAAATCCATATAAGTAAGGCTTTTTTTTTAATTCCCCACCAACTTGAAGTGCCAAATAGATACTTTCCACTAAGCTCATAGTAGTACTTGACTTGGAAACATGGGATCATCTCCTAAGATTCATTGCATATCAGCAAGGACTGAAATATCTTGCCTGGAAAAAAAAAATCTAGCTTTTAAAGCAGCACTATTCTGTAGGTTGTGCTGATTATTGCTTTGTGCTGCATGACTGTGATTTTTGGCATGCAGTGTCACATACCAAATTCCCAAAATAAAATGCTACATGATATTCTAAGAGCTCTTAAGAAGCTTTAAAAAGGGATTTGTCCGCTGAGCGGGTATCTCTTCTGGTGAAGCCAAATGATGCTGCATATAAGTGTTAAGAGGAGGAAACTTTAGTCAGCAGATAATTAGTCTTTTTAAATAAGTGCAAGGGGAAAACAGAAAACCTTCCATCAGTCTTGTGTTTGTAAAAGTTGTCAGCAACCCTGCTTTGACTGTAAAGGGTTTTACAGCTATATGTTTGAATAGCTAAAACATCTGTTCAGCAACATTGTGAAATCCTCGTGTTCGGCACCCTTGATAAGGGGAACTGCTGAGCGATTGGCTCATAGAGGCTCTACAGGCAGCAAGGGCTGTACGTACAGTGGCCACTGCTTGCCTTTCCTCCTCCTGGTCGGAGGAAACCGTAGGAGACAGCTACTATTTTACGTGTGATTTTCCTTTGAGAGGGGGAGAGCAGGAAGTGCCTAGGAAATGGTTCATGGCAGAAACCTGGAGTTGTAAATAGGAGAGAGGAGGAGGAGAGCTCATGGGTGCAGTCTGTGAGCAGTTGAAATACTGCTACCACAGCAGCAGAGGAAAACCAGACTTCTGCGAGAGCGAGCACATCCTAAGCCATCCCGATGGAAAGAGAGACAGTACCCGAGGCCGGGAGAGCAGCCAGCAAAGCCACGCGGATCGCCCTCGGCGTCTTTGTGAGTGGCACCGTTGTGCTGGGCACCACGCTTTTCTTGGGTAAGTGAAAAGGTCAAGGCTAACCCGAATGCGACCCTCCCCAGCCTGTCTGCTTGGTGCCAGTGTTTGTGCTCCGCAACGTGTTTTGGTGAAAATCTTCGTCTCTTCTTCTTTCCCTCCATTTTATACTTATTCCAAAATGGAAATGTGTCAGGAAAGGGACTTGTTGTGGGAACACTAGAGCTGGAAGATGCAACGTGAGCTCATGTAACTTTTTGAATGCTGAATTTAAATTTAGATACTCAGTTGAATGTGTTCTAGCCAGAATTGGGTTCTTTCGGAGAACGGGGAGAAATGGGTGAGACTACGCATATCAGTAACCCCGATTATGAATTCACAGATTGTGAGCAAGCAGAGAAGAGAAAGCAGTGTTATATCCCGTAAGAACTTAGAGACAGATCCTCTTTTGGAATAATTCAGCCCAACTTTTCATTTCTTTAGACCAACACAGATTTCCCTGGACTGGAGGGAACTTAGCCTCTAAGCATATCTTTTGCTTCCTTCCAATCCTTTATGATCTTGTAATCTTGTTTGAAAGGTCTGCTTCGTTTATAATCACAACAGAGAAAATTATGCTAGGTTTTCTATAGAATATTTAAAGCACCAGGCTCGCACTCGGTTAGTGTTTTTCTGCTCTAGAGCAAATTCTACAAACGTTTGTAGGCAAGTAACCTTTGTGTATGTGAGTAATCCCACTCAATTCAACAGAACTCTTTATAAACATGAGCAGGATTGAATCTTCAACTTGTTAGTGCAAAATATTGTTTCTAGATGAGAAATAACATTTTTTTTTTTTCACTTAAAGAATACAATATCAAACACTAGGGAGTAGTGGAGACCTTATTTCTTTTTTTTAGCACTAGATTGTTTGTTTATTGCTTGTAAAAAAACAATAGACGTTTACCACCATAGCTTGTCAGAGATAGAAGTGCTTTATCCATAGACCAGATGTGAAAATTCAAGCAAATATATTAATTCTTAGAGATAGTTTTCTAAGTGTGCTGAGGCCTATTCAGTAGCCAGACGGATTCAGTGTCAAAATTTTCATTGGCGTAACTGCTAAGAAAATAAAAATGCTGGCCTTGGGTCAACCAAAATGTTTTTAGGATTTGTTTGGAAATTGTCTGAGGTTTTCAACCAAAAGAATAAAGGAAAAAAGTTAAACTGTGTTGGTTTAACTTTTTGCCAATGCAATATTTCCATGTTTCATTCATACACTGTGTTTTGTTTGAAAGTTTAAGTTTAACTCTTTTTTAGTTTTGTTAAACTGTAGAAAAGGAGACCATTATTTCTGGTCATGGGAAACATTTCAGGCACCTCAAGATGACGTTTTCTTCAGTTTTCATTTAATCTGCAAAACTTGCTGTTTCTGGTAGACCTGAAACAATTTCCCTTCAATTTTCCAGCCTGAGGAGTGAAATGTAGCCTTCTCCTGCTTCTCTTGTTTATTCTTCTCAGAGCTCTTACAACTCTAAGAGGAATCTGGGAGAATCATGTGTTTTTATTTACTGTTACTTGCTCATACCGGCTGTAGCCGTACCGTGACTTCAGTGGGGAGCTACCAGGGGAGTCACTTGGCATCATGCGGGGTCCTGCCTGCGGCTCTCCGGACGGTAGTGTGGGCTGTGGCAGGACAGGAGCCACCTCCTCCTTGGGAGCCGAGGCCAGAGCAAAAGGAAGCAGATGGATCTCCAGCTCCCTTGGGCAAGAAGTCAGGCAGCTTTGAATCTCAATTTGGTAGCCTTCCCTCCTGACTTGGTAGCCCTTTGGACTTCTCAGATTATAGGAACATCCACATTATTTGCATCTGCATATTTGTATGCCTTTTCCCCTTTCAGATTTTTTTGGGGAGCTTAATTACGGTGTATATTTGCTTAATAATCTGGAAACAGGCTTATAAAGGAAGAAGCTGGGACACTGAGTGTTATAACCACGACTGTGGGTAATAATGTAATGGTTAGTTCTCTTAACGACAACAACAGCAACAAAAAGGCAAGAGAACAAAACCAGGCAAAGTTTTTTTCAATCAAAATTAGTTGTTAATTAAAAGGGAAACATTACTGCCAAAGATTTTTTTTTTAAATTTGCTCTAATGATGAAGCTGTAAATGGAACAAAACCAGTTGAAATGGTATTTTGCTTTTGTTTATAAAGTATCAAAGCCACGAGGGCTACTTCAGATTCTTTACTGATTCTTTTTAATTTTCCTTCATTTTCCATCAAGTGCAAAAGAATTAAATGGTGTCTGGGATTTTCCTTCCTTTCTCCGCTTTGTTAAGAAAAAAAAAAATCTAGCAAACTTTTAAGACCTGGGTGGGTTCTAAAAGGCTAACTTTAAAGTGGGGAAAAGGTGGGTTGGGAGGAGTGCAACACTTAATAGGCACATTATCCATTATTTGTATTTCACGCAGCTCAAAATCATATTCTGGAGGCCTCCACTTCTCTATTTTCTACTGTTCTTCAATATTGCAATTACAGTCTTTATAAGCCTCAAAGTCTCATGTATTTTTTGGCTAATTTACAAAGGTTGTTGAGGTGCTGTGTTTCACTGAGTCAATGCAAGCTTTGGTAAAGTTGTCCAGAAATAGTTTTACATTCTCAGTTTCTAAGAAAATTGGAATGAAATTCAGGCATTTCTGTCATTAATTGTCATTAAAGCTATGATGTTGGAAGAGATGAAACAGCTTTATATTCAATTCTAGCTATAGGGTTTTTTATAGTAAAATTTTTCCTGTGCTGAAACACCATTTCACATCTTCCTATCCCTTTTGAACGATATAACTACAGGAGAAATTGCTTTATAACTATCAGCACTGGTAAAGCTATGATACCTTAGTATATTCCATTGTTGGGTTTTTTGTTTGGTTTTTCTTGCTTTTTTTTATTTTTGCCATGGACTGAGTTATTAAGATAATGGATATAATGAGACATTTCTTTAAGTCTACTGAGCACGTCTACTGAGACTCTCCCATCCTCATCCCAAGTATCAATTATCTGCAGATTTGCTGCCTGGCAGCAGTGTCTGAAATTAGCAATTCCTATGCTTAAGTTTCAGTGGCAGCTGTAATACACATTTTTAAAAGATGAGCAAAATTAACTGACAATTTCATAGTCCTTGTCAGCAAGGTTTTTGGAAGCAAATACAATTGCAATACTTCTGGGAGCCAGTTCAGACAGAAACCGCGCTGTACCTTATAAACCGCAGCTATCCCTGTGCCCATTGCTATCTGCTTTATTCCAGGCCGGAATAAGGGGACCCTGAAAGCGTCCCGTCGGCACTGGGTCATGCCGGTGGGGCCGGGCAGCGCAGTGCTGCTGCAGGAGGTGCAGCAGGGCAGCACAAGCCCCACAGCTCGGGAGGAGTTGTGGAAACCCTGCAGAAGGTGGCTAGACAGCTCCGTGTTGCATTGTCAGCTGTGAGAAGTGCCTCTCTGGAGGATGACAGCAACAATGATTAATTGTTTGTACCGTGGTGGCGCTCGCTGCCAGTGAGTAAGGCTGAAGTTACTTCAGGCACTGTGCAAACGCACGCTGGGAGACAGCCCTTGCTCCACGCTGCCTACGGGCAAAGACAGAGGAAGGAGAAAGCAGGCACAGGAGGGGAAAATTATTTGTTACGAGCTGCAGTATTTACTTAATATACATTCTAACTGTTTTAAATCAATGTAGTCAGAGATGTATTAGGGCCAGAGCTTGCACTGACATTTGAATGATCAAGTACAAAATATTTGGCTGCAATGGTCAAAATTCATTACAAATGATCTCATTATGGTTTTCTATTTTGCAGTTAGCCAAGGTCTTATAAATTTTCATCCGAAGCAACAGTACTGTTTGACCTCAGAATGCATTGAAGCTGGTAAGCAACAATTTTACCCTATTATATCATGATTATAGTATGTTAATGAGATATTTATACCATTTAAATTTTTTCCATGATACATTTTACTCAGAAAACTTCATTAATAATGGGGGGGAACCCCAACTTTTTAAACAGTCACTGTTTAAGTTGCTGCAGATCTGTTTATTTTCTACAACTAAAATTCATGTTTTAAATTGTTTTAACTCTGTTCTACCCAGGTTAACTCAAAGTTTCCCATAGGGTTTATTTTTTTAATAGGAAACAAAATGTTGGGTGACTTGACCTTCAGGTACATTTTGTTGTTTCGTTCTCAGTAGTCAGAAAACTAGCAAGTGAATTGTTAAGCACAGAATTGCTTTAGGGACGGATCTTGCACAGACTTGCACAATCGTAATGTGGTGACTATGACTCAAAATCTGCAGCTACTTCCATATTGGCAGGCTCTTCTCCCCACACAGAGATACATGTGGTAAGCCTTATAGAGCTGGGACATCTATTAGCATTAAATGCAAGCTAAAGGCACCAGGCTTGGTAGGACCTGAGACACACCCATTTTGCACTGGTCAGTTTTGACAGAGTTTTGCTCGCGCTAAATCAATGAGAGTTTTGTCACCGAGTATAATGAGAGCAAAGATCAAACAACAGTTACCACATCTGGAAATCTGCCCCTAGAGCTGTCTTATTGGAAATAAAGTGGACATTGTGTGAACTTATAAGAGTATTTCCATTCTGAACCGTATTAAGCTGATACTGTGCGAGGTGTTTGGCTTGTGTTTGAAATGCTGACAAATTCTGTGGGGCTCCATAAATTGAAAACTTTGCAGATCTCAACATTACCAGGACATTTCTTGCCATTCTGCTTCTGCTCTGTGCTGCAGTGGCAGTGCTTTTGGCCACCCTGGGCACTGCCCTCCAGAGCTGGTTCTTGAATAAGTGCAAATATCTAAGAAAGGTGGGATGACTAATCAAAACACCCCCACCCCCAAAACCCCAACAAAAAAAAAGTGGGGGGGCTTCATCTTGAGCTTCAGAACAAAAAAAAAAAGTCCCTTAAGAAGTTTGAATCTGAATTGGCCTTCTTTTTCTCGCGTGCACACGAAGTAACACGGATTTTTTTGGTAAGCTCAGCAGAAGCTGGGATTTTGCACCAAGGCAGATCCAGACACCTACGTGACCTGACTGTTTTAGCTCAGAGTGCTCTGTGTAGAGACTACATAGTGTCTCACGACCTGAGCCCTGCCTTGCTGAACAACTTTTCAGGAGTGATAGAAAATTGCCAAGGACCAAAATGTCTTCAGTGTAGCCAGTTTGAGAGTTTCTAATGTGAGAGAGAGAATTACAGCTGAGACAGAAATATCATAGGAAGAGTTACTCTAAGTGGATGAAGAAGAGTTACTGGATGCTAGAAATAGTACCATAAAGTCTGTAAAAGTTATCAGATTTCCTGCTAGGATTTTTAATCAGTTATTTGGATAAGCCTCAAAACATATGGTCATTTAACCAAAAAATGTCCAGTATCCACATATTCCATGTTACTCAACTCATGTAGATTTATGCCACAATCACTATAATGTATGAAAGGGGTAATGGTTTTAAACTGAAGGGAGTAGATTCAGACCAGATACAAGGAAGAAACTTTTTACGCTGAGGGTGGTGAAGCACTGGAAGAGGTTGCCCAGAGAGGTGGTGGATGCCCCATCCCTGGAAACATTCAAGGTCAGGTTGGAGGGGGCTCTGAGCAACCTGATCTAGTTGAAGATGTCCCTGCCCAGGGCAGGGGGGTTGGACTAGATGACCTTTAGAGGTCCCTTCCAACCCAAACCATTTTATGATTAGATACTCAAAAGCTATTAAGTCTCTGGCTTGTCAGACTGATCTCTCTCTTACCAGTCTCACCTGCAACAGCAACTGGCAGGGATGCAGTCACAAAATGGAAATACTACAGTTATCTTTTCCAATGAATGTTAGATCAGAACCTGATTTGTTTTCTTGTGCAGCTATTCAGCTAAAGGTAAACAGTGCATAATTTCTGGAATGCTAATTACAATCTGCTTGATATGTACTGCTACTAAATTCCTTAGGCAATTAATTCTATCCTGGCAACAATGGAGAGCCTGTCTTCAGGTGTCTGGCTCCAGCAGTTCATGTTCCTGTAGTGCTAGGTTCAGTGGTCATTGCTGTATGGCATGCAAAAACATTCATTGCAGATATTTTGTCTTTTTTTTGCTTCTCACGTAGGCACTGTTAGATACTAGAGAAGCTGGGTGGTATTCTTGCTGCTCTTTAAAAATGACAGAGATCAGGGCACACATCAGCCCCAGAGAACATCAAGGCTTAGCTTGCAAGTGAGGTCAGCATCATGTTGCAGAGACTGGTAAATGTTACTCATCGCTTCTGGACTGTGGCCTTGTGTAATTCTCTGTTTAGGAAAAAGTGTCCCACAAAATCTATGTAGTGTCTTTTTTACAGCTGCTGGCATCCTAAGCAAGATAAATCAATCCATAGATCCGTGTGAGAACTTTTATCGATTTGCATGTGATGGCTGGATATATAATCACCCTATTCCTGAAGACATGTCAAACTATGGTGTTTATCCTTGGCTGCGACACAATGTGGACCTCAAACTAAAGGGTGAGTATGTAATTTCTGTAAGTGTTTGGTTGGCTTGTCACTGTAGCTTGTTAACTGGCTGGTTTTGAAATTAGTAAGACTCCACGCTTCTTTTTGATCATTGGATAATATCCAACAGCCCAACTTGATGTTCTCTTTTAAGTATGTTTTTGTTGGTTTTTATTGAAAATAACATTGAGAGATAGTGAATTATAACAGAAACAGAACTTGGGAGGACAAGTACAATTGCTGGAAACTCTACTAGTTAAGAATGGAGGACGAAAGGATTCTCCTTATACCAAAGGAAAAAGCGAGGGGATTTGAACTCTTTTCCCCCTTGGAGTAGACGGGTAGACCAGAGTGCAGGAGCACAGCATGCGTATTTAAGAATGTCCCACATCCAGACAAACATCAGTCTGGGACAGCACTCTGTCTCTAATGGTGGCCAATAGCAGGAAAAGAATGTAATAAGGCAAAACCAGAGTGGTATTTTCTAGTATACTTACCTAGCTCTTGGCAGGAGGCAATTTACAGACTTCCGAGACGGAGGTTGTTTGGGTATTGTGTTTCCTTCACGTTGCTGTTCAAGCTGCCATTGAAGTACATGAGCTATCATCAGTGAAACAGAAGGCTGCTTAAGAATGTGTGTCTGGAGGAAAAAATAGCCCCGGGGTGGAAATGTGTAGGAAGAGAGGTATTTTAATCTACATGTGACTTGACTTTGTGCTATACTCTGCAGCAAGGCCACCTCATCAGGAAGCTGTGCAGACCAACTGGGGAGAAAAGGTGATGATTATTGTTAGGTAGGAAAACCCTGCCAATTCTTACAATTTTCGCTAAAAGTGAGTCATGCAAAAGAAGGGAGGTGTGCAAGATTTATTATTGGTGGTGGTGTGCTTGAGCATTGCACGCCTTGAGCACGTTATTGACCTATTAGTTGACATAAGAGCCTGCTTTGAGCTCACCACAGAACAGAGGTCAATTTTAGGATATTGTCCTTAAATATAGCATTTATTTTTCTTTTAGATTTTGTACATATGTGCTTGTGTAGGCATCAAAGCCCTTCTCTGCTTGCTTTTTTCAGTCATATCGTATTCAATTTTCACATCGTTAAGTATTTTAAAAGCTGCATTCGGTTTCAGAATATGAGTTTGGATTTTCAGCATAGGATACGATCTGATGACTGCTGTTTTAAGTCTGCTGAAGATGTCACAGCCAAAGGAAAAAAATATTGCTAGAGCATGTTTTAAATTATGCTTTGCATTCTAATTGTTCTGCTGCCAGAATCGGGCTGTATTAGATAACTGCACATCCTGCATGAACCACAGCCACAAAGAAGCCAGTCCTAACTGAATATAGAGTAGCAAGCTGTGACTCTCATCCTTAATTTCCTCTTTTTACAGAGCCTAATCAAGGACATCATGCTAAGCCACATTTTTATATGGTTTTCTTACTGCAGTCCCTTTAGAAGCTGCTAATCCCTAGCTAGGAAAATACAAGACAAAGAAAGAAACATCTAAGTGAGAAGTATTTGCTTAATGGAAACTCCATATCAAAAGAGGGGTGTAATGAAGTGCCTGATAACTACTTTAAAGATATGAAATGTTGGGTGGTGTAGAGGAGTTGATTTAATATAACGTTTGTCATCCCCTCCTTAACTTTTTACTTAATAAACTTTCCAGAATATATTCTTGGTAATTAAAAAAGGAAAAGAAAAAAAGTGTTGGATGTCAGTGTTGGTAGCTGAAATAACAAGGTGTAACTTCAGCCTCTATGTATGTTTGTGTTTTAACTTGAGTTACTTCAGTAAATTAGCTTGACACTGAGTTATTAATTTGTGGATGACCACAACCTTGCTATCAAAAATTTTAGCACAATGAAGATCTCTTGCATAGAGAAACATATATATGGCTGACCAGACCTTGGAAGCCAATTTAATCTGTCCTTGCTAAAGAACTCTTAATGGAACTTTGTACTTCATTGTAAATGTCCCTGTTTGACGCTCAGTAGATTAAAAAAGCCGCAGTCTTTAAAGAGCTGATTATTACACAAGTTCTATGTTCTGAAATATTTATCATATTAAAGAAAACTATTAATCTTAAAGTGATAACATGGCTTGGCCAGAAAGCCACATTTTTAATATTTGATATTCTTTGATGGTGTGATATAGACAGAAGTACTTATTCAGGCAATATATTAAAAAATGATGTTACTTAAAATAAATTATTTGAACACTAATCTGTTTTCTGGTCCCTGAATGTTCCTGAGCCTTAAGCAGAAAGGGAGTTTGGGTATTTGTGCAAAGACCTGTGTACGGCCTTAGTTACACAAGGGTATCTTCAATCTTCTGGAAGCTTCATTTTTTGTTCAGGGGGCAATTGCTACAGAAGATCTTCCAGCTGATAATGGGTAGCAAGTGTAAGAATTGGTTTTGCCTTACCAAAAAGTGGTAGGTGTAGCTGTATAATGTACTGAACCCTGCATTAACTATTACCGGGTTTGAGAGCAAAGCTTGTTTTTTTTTTCTTTTTTTTGAGATTGCAATAACACAAGAGCATACGACTTTGCAGGTGTCAGCTTCAAGACAGGGTAGAACATTTTCTGTATCGGTGAAGGTTTTTTGTGCTTTAATGGGGAATTCTAAAGAGAGGAATGGCAATAGGTCAATGGAAAATAGCTGAGAACTACTGGGTGGCAGATTTTTTTGCCTGCGTATCTCTGGTTGATTGAAGGAACAGGACAAGAAACGTTCATTTCAGGGTTCTTCTAGATTTGCAAAACTTATGTGGTAGTTAAAAACTCTATTTTTTTCTAAAATTTGGGTTTATAATGGGGTAGGAAAATTATATGTATATATATAATGCTCCCATGGCTTTCTCTAGCTGTCTTAGGATAGATCCAAACTAAAATTATATCATTATTTCCCCTTTAATTTCTTTTCCATCCTTTGTTTGAGGGTCACTTGAATTTCTTTTTCTGCCCTCAGAGGAATCCATAAACCACATGTGTAACTCACTTTGATCTCCTGGCTGTACAAAATGGCTAAAATCCTAGCTTGGTGAAAGCAGCGGTAGGTCTTTCGTCGGATGGCAGCAACAAGCAGGATTTCATGCGTTGTGGAGGAATGTACAGAAGACAACTGTAGATAGCCAAAGATATGTCAAAAGCAGAGACTTGTGGTTTTGGTTATGACCCAGGTCCAGGTAATGGACATCTAAAATTTAGGTTAAAATTTCTTGGTTCCTTATAGAACTGTCCTAGGGAGGACAGGGGTACTCTTACTTCCAGTTAACCGTTCCTGGCTGCACCAGACCGTCCTGATTTGAAGCCAGCCTTTCATTTGCAGATACGCTGCAGGCGTATTAAGAAGTGCCTCTCGTTAGTTAAGAGCAAACACTTTTAGTGACGATGGGCCTATGAGGAAGCTCTTGGAGTCCTTCAAAATGGGAAAAATGGTTTGACTGTGGCACCTGTTGTATGAACAAAAGCTATCTCAAACTGCAACTGTTTCAGCCTTATGTCAGGTCAAGATTGCAATGTCTCTGTGAATTAATAAATGTTTTTTACTTACCATAAAATTTCCTGCAAAGCTTTTTTTG